TTTTAAAAGAGTTTAAGACGTGCTTTACCACAAAATCACATCTCCTACTCAGACGACGTTGGCCGTTGACCAATCACAAACTGGCTAATAAAATTTTGTATTTGGAATTAAATTGTGTATAGATACGCCAAGTTATGTGGTTAAAAAGTAGCTGTTTCAATAAAAATTGAACTTGAAATGCAAAATTTAATAAATTTTACGTTTTACAGAATCGTTACACTTTTTTTTTAAAATCGTTACACTTCTAACCAATAAATATATATATTACAAAATTTAAACACCTTAAATTTTGACCAATTTGATATCACTCAAAAGGTTGGACAGTCGAAATAAGAATTTCCCTAATGCATGGTCTATTCTTTTTGTTTTTTTTATATATTGAGAGATATAGTTGATCTAAACAATTTTATCTCGTCGTTGAAAACAGAAAGAATTTCAAGAATATCTTGTTTACTAGACTTCCACGCGTTAGACTACCATATAACTACTACATAACATATTACAAGAATCCATGAATGGACAATGACACATGTCACATCTCCCACCTCTTTCAACGTCGTTGCATCTTCACCTAAAATTGTTTTTTTCTTAACAAAAATCCTTATAAGCCTTTAGTTTAAGTAATTTATCTTAACGAAACGTGATAATTTTTGTACGTGAGATCGATGAACATGTTAACAATAGCCTTGTCTCTGCTTTTAATCTGTTTCGTCTTCTTCTTTTTCACCACCGGAAAATCATGTTCCGGTGATAAAGGAGCCAAAATCCCTCCGAGTCCTCCAAGGTTACCTATACTTGGTAACATCCTTCAAATCGGTGAAAAGCCTCACCGCTCACTTACTGATCTCTCGAGGATTTACGGAAGCGTAATGAGTCTTAAGCTTGGTTGTTTGACTATGGTGGTGGTATCTTCCCCGGAAGCAGCAAAAGAAGTGCTGAAAACACATGACCATGCCTTGTGTTATCGAATCTCCAATGATCCGGTTCGAGCCGCTGGTCATCACGAGCGTTCCTTTGTCTGGCTACCTCCGTTTGCTCGTTGGAGGTAAAGTAAACACTATATTATCTTGCTTTTTTTTTGTTTCGATTTTAATTGCTCAAAGCCCACATGATTTATGGACCGATATGTAATTAGTGATTACTTTTATACCAAACTGGCTTTCTTGATACAAGAATAGATCTCGATTAGGTTGAACACTCTAAAGTACCTTTTAAAATGACAAAGGATATTAATTTCTTTTCATAGTTCATGGAACTTAGTTCAATTTTGGCTCCATATTAAAAATTAATTGTTATAGTGAAATATTATAAACTCCTTTGTATAATAAGATTGATGGATAATTTCACTTAATACTAGTTATATATGGTTCATTGATCTACTTTTTAATACAAATTTTAGTTTTAAATGAAATTGGAAAATAA